TAAACTAGACTTATACTGTTATGTGACTGGACCCCCAATAATTATATTTTATTATTAATTTTCCCCCATCTTTACATCTATTCAGCTTTACAAAACACACTCATTACACAAACCTTGAAGACTTTTTAATGTAAATGATAACAACTTCCTTTGACTACACTCATGGACACAGTCTTTTTTTCTTTTAACAAAATTCTCTTACTTCCTTCCTTTTCTTTCTATAGGCCCCCTTTTTTTTAATTATAAATATAATTTTTTTTCCTCTTCATTACTTTTGGGCCATTTATTTTTTTACTTTATTTTGTCCCATCTTTTCTTCCTGGCCTTTCGAACTCGTACAAAATATACGAAGTTCCTTTTTACTCTCATCTGAAATACGAAATTGCCCCCCTTTCTATGTACCTTTCCTTCGCACCTATGCTTGATTTTTCGCCCATCGGTGAAGAAAGACTTAGCAGGTGCAACAAAAGACATCTGTCTACCTTGTCTGTCTGTCTGTCTGTTTTAATCACATTTTCACTTTATTCAGTTTGTACTTCCGGGACTTTAGAATCAGGAACTTTATTTCCATGAATGATTTCCTCATCTTTTTCAGATGCTTTACTAAACGCTTCTTTTATTTTTTCATCTTTGCAAACAGTATTATCACTTTCTTCCATTTCTACTTCAGGCACTTGAGAATCAAAAGATTCTTTCCCGTCTTTCAGTGCTTCATCTTTTCGTTCTTTTCCTTTAATCTTGTTAGATGTTTCATCCTCCATTTCGTGATCTTTCTCAGACACTTCGCCAGATACTTCCTTTATTTCTCGATCCTTTGATTCTTCAGATGCCACTTCTGTCATTTCCACATCTTGTATTATGGCTCCAGTTTCCTCTAACTTTTCGTTCCCTTTTCCTTTCATGTCTTCTAATTTAGCTCCGATTTCTTCTCTAAGCTCCACGATATCGTTTTTTTTATACCACTTCCATCCGTCGGAGTTGCTCTAGAAGCTTTTTATGTTCAGCTTTTATTTCTTCTTTACCCGATATTATTTCGCCCTCCTTTCTTGTCCCACCTTGATCTTCGATTTCATCTCTTCTTGTCGAGCTTTTACAGCTGCTCACAAACAAGGCCAACTAGATATCTAGTTGTTTGTGAGCAGCTGGCCTTGTCACAAGTCCCATCAGAGCCTTTATTTCCTCCGCCATGGCTTTCTCCTGCAGGTGGGTCACTGGCAGCCACTCACAAATCGCATTTCTGACACCAGATGCTGACTTCTACGGGTTCGTGGATCTGGAGTAATTGATGATAATTGATGAAGAATCAAAACACAATTTAATCGCAAGTGTTACATAGCACCGCTAATAACGCTTTCTAATATGTTCTCGCTCCGTCTATGGCATATCGCCGATTTTGCACCAAATCTGGGAACCCTGCTTCTCCCTGCCACTCTCTGGCAAACCTAACATCATTTTGCGGGGAAGCTATCTCAGTTGTCCCCAATACATATTGGGCATTTCACAACAATATATATGAATATCTTGAAAATCTATTTTTTAGAAGCTTCGAAAATGTATTAAAGCTCTGTAAAGGATTTCAGTCCAAATCTTTAAATGTCCGTAAGCTGTTTTCACAGATTCAACATCAATGCATTCAGTGTAAAGAATTCTGGTACATAACTCATGAATTAAACATATATAATAAAAAAATGGGCAAAAATAAAAGATTTTACAAAAGACGGGAAATCTACTTAAGGTCTGATTACTCATTTAATTTTGTCCTCGTAAATGCTTTGATGTCGGATATTATTTGCAGTAATAAAACAGCTAGTAAAGTGAAAATAAATGAATACATTAAAGAAAGAATGCCAAGAAATGACTGAAATATTTTTACAGTCGACGAATGGATTCTTCAGTGGTGTCGCCATCTATTGAGGTTCTACTATCATCTATTATTATTCATCTATTATCATTCTTCTTTTACGAAAAACGAACTTCTTCATCCGCTGAAGACGAACTTAAGAAATGAGCAACCAGATATATACTCGCAACGAGTTATATGAGCAGCGAATTATATGAAGTCGTTGGAAATGAGCTACCTGTTTTTAAGCCGTTTAACCAAAAATTTGCTATCCTGATTTGGATGTACGGTAAAGATTTATTTTTTGCATTTAGCTCACTGCTCCGAACATTTCATCATCGGCTAAAGTGCAGAATCGTCCACTTATTTGATTGGTGTTTGTTTGGCGCTTTTTACAAGATTATGAAGAATTGGATTTTTGTCAATTTTCTTTGACTTTTTAAGTGAAAATAGGTCAATGTGTACATGGATAAAGTCAAGGAGTGCGCAGTGCCATTTTTGTGCAATTCTGGGATGTTTTCTAAGTGAAAATAGGTCGATGTGTACATGCATATCGAGTATGTGCAATTCTTAAAAGCGCGTTAAGCAGTGGGTGATTCTGCACTTTCCCCTCACCATCTTCCAGGTATGTCCTAGAAACAATAATATGACAGACAGACAGACAAAGTAGACTTGACATTTTTTAAACCAGTTACGTTTTTTAACAGTTAGCAAATCTGGATATACTTTTTCTTTCCATTCTGATCTCTGTATAGTACCTCAGTTTTTATCTACATTTTAGAAGAGCTCTTTCTCGTCCATATTTTAGAGTAAATTCGAAAGGAACTAAAGTCTCTCTTCCTTTTGTGTTTGAGTATCTCAGTTTGATCAATATTTTCGCTTTAGCATTTAGGGGCGAATTCAAGTGCAACGCTCTGATAAATTGCAAATGTTAGCTCGCAAGAGGCGTTCCTGCTATCGCCCTGCTAAAGTCGAATTCAAGTGCAACGCTTTACCGCTCTGGTAACTGATGACGTCAAAATTGCAATGGGGAGCTGGTTTGCTCTCGTGCCAGGAGAGCTTGTCCGATAAACTACATCAATATCCAATGATACTGCGTGTCGATGTTAAAAAAAACATCATTCCCATGATTTCTCTGAGCTTATGGTCAAGTGTACTGCGTTGTAGTGTGGTGTAACGAAGTGTTCCAGCCCTGAAAACGAAAGAAATATACAGACATGTGTATTTATTTTAATGTGTACAACTTTATTTACTTTATCCTATAGAAAATTCCCTCCAAAGTAAACTACAGCAACAGGTGTGTGTAAAATATATTTTACTTTTCATACAAAAATCCTTGCTTTTTCAAATATAAACCACATTTTTTTTTTTCCCATTTTCAAATTCAAATTACAGCATTTGGTTTTAATTCTTCTAATAGTAAGTTTAATTTAAAATTCAAATTTGTGTTATATTTTTATTGTTTAATGCAGATGCATGATTCTTCAGTGACAGTAGGCATGTTTACCATATGAAAATTAACTAGTTCTTGAATTATATAGTAATTAATAAGCCCATCTATCTACAAGCAGATAAGCCTGCTGAACACCGCTATCCCAGTCTCTCTTTAAATCCAGGTGAAAAAGCTGGCTGCATGAGTGTTTTCTTCATTTTTTCAATGTATAACATGAATACTAAGTTTTCCTTAGTCTTCCACGCAGGCATTCCTTCCCTTAGACATTCATTATGTGATGAAACAGTTAAGAGCAATTTTTAGATTTATATTGTACATCGTTGGGAAAATATAAAAATGAAATTAAAGGTATTTCAATGTAATACAATAAATAAAAAATTATATGAAACCCTGAACCCTGATAATTCTAATGTGATATTAATGTAATATATACATCCAGAGTAAAGGTTAATTTATAAATTATGCTTTGTGTTCTGCTCATTATATTGTGCATTTACAGTACACTTTCTGCTTCTTAAGTGAAAGTTTGGACCCATTCTCATTTGATATCAGTTATGTTCAGATTTATTTATTTCATAAAATTTCAAAAAACAATTTTTGGCTATTAAAAGCTACAAGTGCAGAAACAAAAGCTTAATTTCTTTACTGTAACTGTGTCATGCTTCTCTTCTCTGCTGATAATGAAAGTCGTCTTTTAATAAGATTTCTTTCATTGCATATATTAATTATATCTTTTTACCATACTGGTTGCCATCTTTCATTGTGCATTCTTCAATATTTTTTGGTACTTAACGTATTAACACAAACACCTGGATCAGTTTGGTGGTCTTTATAAATGAAAAGAGAAAAATACTTATCAGGAGAAGTACGTTGTTTTTTGCAGCTTGCTTTTAGCATAACCAAACTATCAATATTTATCTAAGTTGGCAAAATGTTATCAACATATCAAAGGAAAAAACATTTAACAAATTTTAAAATACTAATTTGAATTATTAAATAAAAATTATATGATAGTTTAAAAAAAATACATTTTCCACAAATTTTTTGTCTAATTTTTTAGCACTTGTGCCAAGTGATCTGTTTTCACTTAAAAAAAAAAAAAAAAAAAAATCAGAGAATTACATAAACTTGATACTGCATGCCTTGTCTATGTACCAAATTCATCTCATAGTTGTTTCCATTAGAAATTTTTGTACTAAAAAAATGTTCTATTCCTGCAGAACTTTTAACACAGCTTCGTCTTTTGATGGTAAGCTCCACAAGCAGTATTTTAAATCTGAAATTAATCTAAAACAACTATTCGTATCTAAAATCCATTGGAACTTGAAATACAACATAAGAAACACATATGAAAATGGTGACATTGCTTGAATGAAAAATTGTCATGAGCATGTTACCTGAAAAATTTTGATACATAATCGTTGCCAGAGTTTGGCACATTTTTGAAAATTTGGTAACTTTTATTAAGGTGGTTTCAATAATATGCAAATATCTTTTATTCTTATGATTGCTTCATTGTATACTTTTTCCCTTTCCCTAGAGTGCAGTACAATACCACAAGTTTTCCAGCCAAATGCGGTATGCATTTCAAGTTTCTATACATTTATATAAATTTTAAGAGAGTAAAATATTGACAAAAACTGCATTAAGTTTTCAACTCTTGTTTTGTTTTTCATTAAAAATTTGCTACCATTATGTATAATATAATTCATTTTTTTTAATGTAAATGTTTTTAAGTATTTGTAGGATAAAGGCAAATTACACTTATTCATTCTTTCTTTGATATAATACATGTAGCTCTTTACCTGAAATCAATGTTTGTCAAATTATTGTGCATAAATTAGAAGTATGCATGTTTCTCTTAAGTCAGTTATGTTTCAGGAACTATCTTTAATGAATTGTATAGAAAATTGTGGACGAGGTGTTAGGTGTACAGGAACGTGGTATATTATAAACATGTATAGTATCTCATAGTATATAAACTCATAACTTTGATTATGCAGTATGCTTTGTATATTATTTCTGAAAGCATGTATATTTCAATCAAGATTGTTGAGTAAACTTTTCTTGCTTTATGCTATCTCTGAAAGCATGTATATTTCAGTCAAGATTGTTGAGTAAATTGTGCTTATTTTATGCTTTTTTCTTTTTTACATTAGAAAATTCCACACCTTTATCACGAGGAAATCTGCAATGGCATTTAGGAATGACAAGTTTGTATCTATTACATAAAATCTAATGTTTTCTGCATTCTTCTTTTCCTTTTCCCCCCCAACAGAAAAACTTTAATGGTATAAATCAGCGGTTTTCAACCTTTTGACTGTAGTGTACCATCTAAGCAAAAACTGAAAAACATTAAGACTACCACTAATTTTACAATGATTATTTTTCAATTCCTCAATAGAAATATTAAAAACATATATATATATATATATAGCCATTTGCACACTCTTTGTATTAAATATGTACACATAAAGAACTATTAGATTAAAAACTGATGATTACTTAATTATCAAAATTAAATTTAATTAAATTAATTATTCACTTGATTATCAAAATTTCAGTTATAATACTTTAATATTTAATTTCTTTATGTCTGCTCTTATTTCATTTAATGGTAAATTAGGATCCACTTTTTATTTTGATGAGTATTTATATTTCAAATTTAACATGGAAAAAATCATTTTTCACACAAACAGGTTGTGCGAAAAGACAATACAAATTTGATAGCTTTATTTGAAATGCCTTTAAATTCTTTTTTTTTTTGGGTTCAGCCAAAAGTTAACAAGTGTGTCATTTTCCAAATCTTCAAGTCAATTTCGATCAAAGGAAATTTCTATTAACTATTCTTTTCTTTATGAGATTTTTGAATTTTGTAGTTAAAAATATTTTGTTTCTTTGCATACCACCGGCTGAGAACCGCTGGTATAAATTAATTATAACAGATGTAAATTAATATTTCTCATACAAAAGAGTTATTTCAATTCTTTATTGCGAACATTATATACAGAGTATGTCTTTTATTAACAACAAGATTTTAAGAATTTAAAATAATAATCATTAAATCCTCTTGATCTATAAACAGTCTTAAAAATTATAAAGGGAAAAAAATTGAAAGTTAAAGAAATCAATATTATGAATTGTCCTTTTTTAGAGAAGTTTCATTGTTTAATTAATTATAAAAAGTGTTTTACATTATGAAATATAAAAATTAAGAATATTTGAATTTGAATGAATATTTTAAAATTTTCCCTCAGATAGAAGCTCAACTATTCGAAGCAGGAGACCGAAGAGAAAAAAGGAAGAGAGATGATATTACAGCTGCAGAAAAGGAAATAATTGAAACGCAGAAGAATATATTAATGTACTGTGTGAAATATGTGACTTGTATAAGCAATCAGTTGCAAATCAGTCTGCTGTCATAGAAAATCAAAATATAATTATTAATTTATTAAAAAAATAAATCATGCATTTCAAATATTACAGTGTTTTCATTCTTGTATGTATTTCTGCAGTGTGGGATTCATATTTTAATTGTAAAATTTACTACTTTCTTAATTTTATAAAATTTTGTGATTATAAAAATTATTTAAAAGAAATTCACAGATCCATTATATGACATAAACATTATAATAATTCTAATACCACTATTATAAGTCTCGTGAAAATATTTATGCATTTTACACAGCAATTATCTTTTTCCTGGAGGAAAATGGGAATAAGACCTGTAAGAATCTTTAGTCAATGTATTACAAATTTTAATTTTCAGATATAACACGAAATGAATTAAATTGTTTTTCAATTATGTTAATAAGTTATATGAATGAGATGTGGTATTAAAAATTTCATTTCTTTTTATCATTGAAAGAAATAACATTCGATATCCTACAGCTCCATAACAATGGCAGATAAAATTGGACATTCTAATTTCGAAGTTCTAAAAATACAGAGATGACAACTATTAAAGTATGGCTAATGTCTAGTTTACAATAACAATGTTGAGTCGCGTACTAAAAATTAAGTGAATCAAACTGTATTTATTTTCTTTTCCCCCTTCTCTTTTTTTGGCTGAAAAACAATTTATTATACACTCATGATTTTACTTAAATGTATTTCTTTTAATGGCAAACCCACTGAGGTAAGTATGCAGTAAGTTATTATAGTGAATGCGTAATGATGATATAAATCTAAATTCAGCAAACAATCTTTCCCTTACTTTAATGTTTTAAAATCTAGAATTAAAAGAAAAATGTATGTTCTTTAAATAATACAAGAGGATATGGAGGCATAAATCATAGGCTGTTTATTCTTTACATATTATGCTAATCAGGAATTGGAGCAAAACCCTGCTTAATCGAAGAATACGCTCACAGGAATGGTGGAGGAAAATTGAACTGTCCAATATTTGTTTTGCCCACCCCCAAGAAGTATACATAAACAGTATAGAGTGAAATAATTGTTTTTTAGGAAATACATTTAAATATCTTTGACAGAATATGTCAGTTTTAATTTATACTATAATAAATAAGCATGAAGTTCTTATGCTATTAAATGTGTATTGTCACATGGAAATTTTCTATCTTGTCCCACGGAAGGGGACGAAAGGGAAACATTTGACTTTTTGGAAGAAACTGAATTTCGGTGCAGTAAATCTTATTGCTAAGTTTAAGATAAATTAAGTGCAATGCTAATTTATAGTGACTTACTATTGTAAATCATGACTGGCATACCAACACTAAATATATATATATATCAAGCCTATTAAGTTATTTCTGGTAGTCAAGAGTTTTTAAACATAAATGATGGAAACAAATTCAGAGGGAAGAACAATAATGATAAAGGTTGTCAGTATGCATTTGAAACCAGGACTAATAAAATTATTTAGGATTATTATTATCAATTAAAATCATTTAGGGTTGTGCATTTAGTTACAGGTTTAAATATAAACCATGGCTTGTGGGTCCCCAAGAATATATTATGAAATTTTTTTTCATAATATATTCTTTATTATCCATGAAGGGGGTGTCACCTTTGCCAGAGGTTCATTGTTGCCCACTTTGGGTTTTTTTATTATCGAGTTTCAAAATTTAAAGATAATTCATTGTGCAATGCAATTTCAACATGCACTGACTGAAAACTTTCTGAAGGTACCAACTCATCATCTTCAAACACATCAATCTCAGGATTTTCAACACAATACCTTAAGCATATATATGTAAAATGGCCACCAGATATGACCATTTTACATATTTTGCTTTGTGAATACAATAGTGTTAGTGTTCAGTGACCAGTATAGTACCAGAATATATTATGTCCGATCTCTAAATCTTGATTTGATCTCTATAGCTGCACGCAAACTTTTTTTCTGTGCTTCTCATTATAGAGATATTCCCGTGATAAAATGGGAATATAATCCACTATATCTCCCAAAGATATGCACGATGCGACAAAATATACTATCTAGATTTTGTTTCAGTCCACTCCATATAAATGCATCATGAGTATTGCCTGGCCATTGTCCTATAGCATAGAGAACCCTCAGACCAGCATTCCATACCTAGAAAAACATAAATCCTAAGTCAAAAGAAAGTTTCATCTGAAATTTTAATATACACAGATTTTTAACATTAAATATAGTTGATATATTAATAAATCAGTCTTTTTAAGGAGTTTACTTTCCATTTTTTTAACAAAAATATGTCACTGTTTTTTCATTATTAAAAAATATGCAATAAAACGTTAAAACAACACACACACACACAAAAAAAAAAAAAAAAAAAAAAATTACAGCTACCCTTTTTTTTATTAAATTGTAGTAATTATAGTAAATAGGTGATTCTAAAATTTATTTAAATATTTTGTATTATTTAATATCTATACTTCACTATAATTATAGTATAGATAGCTTTTTGTTATTATTATTTGAATAATAATGAAACATTCTTGCAGTAATTTGAAATGACTATAATATTATACTTATTATCATATATTTCTTACCTTTTCACCATTAATGGAAAATTTATTTTTCCGGTTAATGAAGACAAAACAAAAATTAATATCACACCACACTCGCAACATCTGCGGTTTCATTTGTATGTAACCCAAAATAATTCTTGGTAAGCTAGGTAGAATCACATTTGTGATTGCACACTCCAGTTCTTTTACAGCTGGTCGAAAGAATTAACATCTACTGTATGTGGAAATAGCGAACAAAACAGTAAGAAATTGGAACAATTACCTGTGGACAACTTGTATTCATAGCATTCTAAAATGAGCTTTTGGTAAAATTTGACCGCAAATAAAACAGTAGTAATGAACGAATGTTTTTTCACGAAGTGGGTCCAATACTTTCACAGCAGGGTTATTTCATGTATTCTGCAGAGAGACTGATGTATGGTTTGTTGTAACTGCTGTATACAAATGTCTGGCTCAGAATTCCACAGCAGTAATTAGCACAACTTTCATGGTTGATGGTATAATATGGAGGTACCAAAAATTAGTATTATCACAGTAACTGCAAGATGGCTTATATTTCTAAAACTCAGTTAACACATTTCATGCAGAAAGAAAATATTATCCAGTTTCATACTTAAATCAAGGTCACTGAAATGTGGTAAAAGCAATCTGCTTAAGAAAACAGATGCCTCTGTAGAGGACTTTCTATGGAAAACTGGCTTTCATTCCCATTATACATGGGCAAAACCAATGTCATGTAATATAATAATCTATTAGTACAGTAAATACATTTAATTTCTTTTTGTATTTATTTATGTCATGCTGCTTTTCTTTTCGTGTAATTTAGTATGATAACCTTATAAGTTTATTTAATTCTGATCATGGTCTACGGAAGTAAGGTAAGTCACCTGTTATCGAGAATATCAAGTTATTAATAGTTATGTGAAAGTCTGCAATAACTTTTCATATCATAAGAGATTTATGAATGTGTATATAACTTACATGTGTAGTTATTATGCAAGATCTATAGAAAGTATCCAAAATTACCATGACATTAATCACACTGTACGAACAGGCAAGACATTATACATTAGGAGAAAATTAACTAATATTTTGGGGGATGAAATACTATTTTACACATGGGAACTGTTTAAACAGCTGAGAAAAATTCATGGTTTTTTCCCCCTACAGTTACAGAATATATATATATATTGTTTCATAAGAATAAAAAGTAAAGTTAAATTTAAATAATTCTCATGTGCCATTGCTGCAAAGAATGAAATTTGAATTTAACAAATATTCTCTATTCATATAAAGTTAATTTAAATTATGAAATTTTAATTGCATACATATCAAAGATTAATTATTGCTGCTGCAAACTAATTTACTATATCACTGAAATTCTGAGAGCATATGTAAATTAAATGCACGTATCTAAAACCATGAAAAAATATATAATATTCCAAAAAACTAATCCCAAATATATACATATATATATATATCTCAAAGACAGGCATATGCATAATTTCTGTTAGAAAAACAATTTCTCCGAGATTACGTTACGTTTTTAGAGTAATTAAAACAATAAATTAATGGTGATATTATTACTGCATTCCAAAATTCGCAGTAATTAACGATTTCGATCATCATTACTACGAAAAAAAAACGGGATGAAAAAGAAAGAATCCTGATACAATAACATAAATTTGTGTGTTTACGTATAAAAATATATAATATTCTCAAATAGGTCATTTAAGCATAAAAATATATAATATTCTCAAATAGGTCATTTAAGCATAGTCTTTGATTCGGAAACATTTCCAGAAGTATTTCAGTTTTCATAATCTGAAGTAAAAACAAACCTGCTTTTGCAGAGAATATCCATTGGCAGTTGCCTTCAGAAAAGGTTTCAATTCATTGAAGCAAACCGATTTAATCTGAATCAACTGATGAATTCACGCTCCACCATTTCAAAAGCATTACGACTGTCTCTTAAATGCCAAGGGATTCGATCAGCATTTCTCCGATTTCTTAAACGTCTGAGCAAAATCACTTCAGCCATCTTGTTTACAGTCGCTGTTAAGAGTTTGCGGCAGGTCAGGAGTAGCCGCAAAATTCCTCTATGGTAGTGACGTATTTTCAGTAGGCGTGTCCCAAAAGCGTTGCACTTGAATTCGGTTTTGCAATGCAAGTGCGATTACCATGACAAGCGTTGCACTTGAATTCGCCCCTTAAGAGGCCTGGCAGATTTTAGTATAAACTTCTACTTTTATTTTCAGTAGGTTAATGTTTCGACAGATGAAACTGCTTGCGGAGTGCAGGTGTAATGTTTAATGATTTTTTTAAATGGTTCCAGTTTAATAAGTAATGCTTTAATGTAATTGCTGTGTGAAGTCAGTGTCCGAATTTTACTTCCGTACTTTCCTTTGAAACTGCAGCTGATCTGAATAAATTTTACTATGTCCTCTAGATATGACGTTTTTATTTCCGAAATCTCTACAAACTTTTGTGTTTAAATGAAATTAGGATAAAAAATATTGTTTGATCATTATATTGAAATGTGATGGTATTTCTGATACTTCGTACGAACTGTTTCAAGTTTTCTTAACGAACTGTCTTACTTTTTTTTTAAGCGAAATAATTTTTTGGACAGTAAGTTTGTTTACATTTTAAAGATTGTTTATCTGTGAACTGTTTTCTCAAAAACTAACACTTGTTTGTTATTTTAACAACATGTGACAAATTGCATGCATTCTTGATTTCATGAATTATTCCATTTTGTATGTTAATTTAAAATTGTAAAGGATAGTCATTTGTGTTCTTAATCTCTATTATTTCCTTTAATTAACGGTAAAAAAATCTTGCGAAAAGACAATTATACACTAGTTACACTGATTAAAAAAAATATGTATGAGAAAAATTAATAGCAGCGAATACTGCATTTGTGTAATTTCAATAACATAAATGTGTATTTTCCTAACGAGTGGATTTTATATTAAATTTCTAATTTCTTGCAGTTATTTATTATTAAACTGTTAGCATGCAGTTAAGTCTTTGAATTTATGGTGCTTTTCTGGAGAAATAATAATTTGTAATATTGAAAAATGCAAGCAATATATGTTGCATATTTTATAAACTGGAGTTAAAAAAGCTCTAACATAGATGTAAAAATCCAGATTTACAAAAGAACACACATTGTTTCTTAAATGTTGCTGGAGAATATTCTGCGGTTAAGGTGAATTAATATATTAGTTTGTGAAATGCTTAGTTCTGGACAACTTTGTTTATTTCTCCTACCATCATATTTTTATTACATTTTCAGAGTGCAGAAAAGAAATAAAATAACGTAATAATATTAAAAAACCTTTTTATTCATTAGAAGAATGCTTATATTAATCAAAAAGACAAATTATTTTAAGTAAAAGGTAATGTATGAGCAACTGACAACATTAAGTAATCATACTGCTAATATAAATGTAAATTTTTTCAAGTTTTCAAATTATTTCTGTATTATTATCACCAGTATCATTAATAACACATAATATTACATCAATATTTATCATTTAGTACTAATGTGCTTTATTCTCAAAACATTTACTGATTTTTTCAGGTTTTCAAATTATTTCTGTATTATTATCATCAGTATCATTAATAACACATAATATTACATCAATATTTATCATTTAGTACTAACGTGCTTTATTCTTAAAACATTTACTACTTCTTTTCTACCAGTACTTATCAATAATATTTCAATATTTTTTTTAATACAGTGTTCTTTTTCGTTGTATTCTGTGTTAAAAAATATAAGGTATATAAAATATGCAAAAAATAATTTAAAGCATTTAACAGTTATGAAAGAGGGGAAGTGACTGATGCATTTGTCTCTATTGGCTCAGTGATGAGCTAATTTAAATATGTAGTAGATACATTTCATAATAATTTGTTCAGCTCTAATATATGAATCAGTATGAAGTGGGATAATTTTTTTAGTCTTCCATGACAGATAATGACAATATCTAAGCCTAATGTCTAAATTAATACCATGTACTAGATGTATATTTTAAATTTAGTATTGCTGAAGAATCGCATAGATCAGTGTCGCTGATACTCTGCATATTAGCATTTTATTTAAAGAGGAATAAAATCATGAATATTTATAAAATTAACTATAGTTTTAAGAATTATAACTGTAAAAAATTATAAACCAATATTGATTCAATAAAAAATATAGGTAAAAGTATAGTTTAAGGTACCTCTTGGCGAAACTTGGCAATTTTTGGCGGTACATGGATACCGTTTTTGTGCAATTCTTTGAACTACAAAAAAAAAAAAAAAAAACCCGAATTGCACAAAAATGGCATTGCGCACTCCTTTGACTTTATCCATGTACATGTCAACCTATTTTCACTTTAAAAAAAATCCCAGAATTACACAAACTTGCATTGCGCACTCCCTTTACTTTGTCCATGTACACATCGATATATTTTCACTTAAAAAGTCAAAGGAGCACCAAAGTGTACAATATAGGTAAACAAAAAATACATAATCTCAATAAAATAATTTTAAACCAAACAATAAAATAACATAAAAAAGGAAAAACATGTTATACATTTAAGCACCACCAAAACCAAATATTCACTTACCATGGTTTTCGAGTTCGCTTCGTACACCCAGAGCCACGTAAAAATCAAAATATCAATCATACTCAAATGACTTTTTTCAAACCAGGTACTCTTTCTGATTGAACACTTCACATAGCGACCATCTGAGCCTTTCTTCCTACAAACCCATTCAAATCCATCTAAACGGTTTTAACACACACCACAAAAATGCTTACAAAACATCCCATGATTCAAAATTTCCCAGAATCATGCACCCGATTACCTCACAATAGGGTTTCCATAGCATTCAACTACTCAGGCGACCGTAAATGAAACAACAACTTGGCGATAAATCAAACAACTTTGCCATAATACAAGGGGTACCTTAAAGTCTACTCTACCCAAAATATACAGTTTGCTTCTAAGAAAAATTTAGAAAATCCATTTCATTTTGTCATTAATTTTCTGAAATTCTACTAGTCAGTTTTGTTTTAAAATATGGAACGCAGGTGTTATCAATAAGCTGAAAATTTACTGAAACTTTTATACAGTCAAAAGTCGTTAATTCGGACACCCATAATCCAGAATGATCTATGATCCGGACTTCAAAGCTACAAACTTACTGCGCATGCGTGGCGTTGACGCATGTGCAGAAGACCTTTACGGCTGCGAATATGTGTGTGCGCGTGCGCAAAATACGTTTACGAATGCGCATTTAATATATAACGGACGGTATAAGCTAAGCTAAAATTATCTAATTCAGTTAATGTTGCAGATTGCGTTGTTCCTTAATCTTCGAATTGGATTCAGCTTATTATTTTTTGCAGACTGTTAGAGCAATTTTATAAAAGTAAGCTTGAACTTTCGATTATGTCAAATAGAATTTCTGATATATATTTACTAATTTGTAAAGGATCTACAAAGCCAAAGTATGTTTCGAAGTCCATTAAACAAAAAGTGGAATTGCTGCAAAAAATGGGTAAAGGCATATCCTTTGTTTATCTTTAACGCCGCGGCGCGATATGAATTGGAAGTTGATCTGTCAGCACTATCCTTATCTTCAGGGCAGATGTTTTTATTTTATTTGGCTTATAATTCCTTACAAAATGTAATATTTCATCTCGATGTACTCCGTCTTTGATATGATTTAAATCAAATTCCTCGTCATTATAATTCGCTTCCGATAGCGAAGAAAGTGACAGAGGTTATTGAAAACAAAAAAATTGTGATTGACAAATTAGTCGGTTTTCTCAACACAGCAATTATAGGACATGAACAGCGGAACTGTGTAACTGAACAAGAAATTATGTCTGTTTATAGACTTAAAGAGAATGGGCTGATCTTTAGAATATGGTAACTGGTAGTTTGGCGACATTTTGGAGGCGATAAAGGTTACTACCTGGGACTTTGGTAATAATGTGAGCAGTACTCAGTTCCGATTACGCATTATTTTGTGTGAGGGAAATGAGAGATCATGGGATATGTCATGTGATATTAATGGACGAATTACGGTTTTTTAATCGAAAAAGGGGGGAAATCGGGAAAAAATCTGGAAATTTTGTATTTGGCTTTATTCTGTGTTGTGTAAAACAGTGTTCATTAATTTTTGGATCCCATGGCCCTAACTAAAGTGAATTCGAAATGGGTATTTAGTGGGATTGAAAGGGTTAGTAATAAGTGTTTCTTTAAGGTTGTGCGAGATAGAAGTAAAGATGTTTTATTAAGTTATTTATTTTACTTGGTACCTTGGTGTGAACTATAAGTATGATTTTAAAGATCCTGAAAGAGAAATAAGAAAAGTTTATCGAACACGTAATCAAGATTCTGAAGAAGAATACGTAAGTTAGTATTTTTAATTATTTGAAGATATTATTTTTATGCATTGTTCTAAATGTAAGGTGGAAGTAAAGTAATTTGCGTAAACGTGCATGGAAATAATTTAAATATTTGACACTAAGTATTTGTAACCATTTGTAATGTTTGCGGTATGAATTAGTTAGTGACGTTTGTAATATAATAGATAATGTAGAGGTAAAAGTTTTTGGATATTTTATTTATTTTATACGGGGAAATGTTCATATTTGGAAAGGGTGTATACTTTTTCGCCATCAGGTAATTTCATATATGTTCTTTTTACCGGGTTTAAAGATTCAGAAAATTGTTATGCATTTTCGTGAAATTTTTCTAATTTATGAGAAAAAAGCAGTGTACATGCATATAGTGAAGAGTGTGCGCAATGCCATTTTTGTGCAATTCTGTGATGTTTTTTTAAGTAAAAATAAGTCGACGTGTACATGGTTTAGTGATATTTTAATTAAATAATAGTTATTTTGTAAATTTTTATTTTTGTAGGAATTTGGTATACGTTTTAAGTTGAAGTAAACGTGCATGGAAATAATTTAAATATTTGACACAAAGTATTTGTAATGCTTGCGGTATGAATTCGTTGGTGACGTGTATAATATAATAGATGATTTAGAGGTAAAGTTTTTGGATATTTTATTTTATTTTATACGGGGAAATGTTCATATTTGGAAAGGGTGTATACTTTTTTTTTTTTTTCGCCATCAGGTAATTTCATATATGTTCTTTTTTTACCGGGTTTAAAGATTCAGAAAATTGTTATGCATTTTCGTGAAATTTTTCTAATTTATGAGAAAAAAGCAGTGTACATGCATATAGTGAAGAGTGTGCGCAATGCCATTTTTTTGTGCAATTCTGTGATGTTTTTTTTTTTTAAGTAAAAATAAGTCGACGTGTACATGGTTTTTAGTGATATTTTTTAATTAAATGATAGTTATTTTGTGAATTTTATGTTTGTAGGAATTTGGTATACGTTTAAGTTGAAGTAAACGTGCATGGAAATAATTTAAATATTTGACACAAAGTATTTGTAATGCTTGCGGTATGAATTCGTTGGTGACGTGTATAATATAATAGATGATTTTAGAGGTAAAAGTTTTTGGATATTTTATTTATTTTATACGGGGAAATGTTCATATTTGGAAAGGGTATATATACTTTTTTTTTTCGCGATCAGGTAATTTCATATATGTTCTTTTTTACCGGGTTTTAAAGATTCAGAAATTTTTTATGCATTTTCGTGAAATTTTTTCTAATTTATGAGAAAAAAAGCAGTGTACATGGATGTAGTGAAGAGTGTGTGTGCAATGCCATTTTTGTGAAATTCTGGGATTTTTTTTAAGTAAAAATAAGTCGGCGTGTACATGGTTTATGTGTATGTGTTATTTGTTTTTGAAAAACGCGTAAGGAGTATGGTATTGTGCACTTTTTTTTTCCCAATTTTGTAGTGAATATTTGTCATGATTAAGCAGTTTTGTTAGATACAATTTCTAGCATAAGTGTAATTCGGCTAGTAGATTGTTGGAAGAAGTGTTCAGTAGATAAAAAGAAAAGAAACATGTCTTTACTTCGTGAAGACAAAATGGCGGCGGGAAAAAAAAAATAGAAGGTTGCTGTAGGAGAGTTGGTCGCCAAAAAAACGCCAAGTTACCATAATGTAAAAATCAACCAGAGAATGTATTATCACATAAAAAACAAAGCAACTTAAACAACTTACATTGAAAGAAATGTTTAATAAAGTAAACAAATAAATATTAAGCTTTTTTTTTTTTTCGTAAATTTTGATACCCTTTAGATCATAATTGTTCTATATTTCATAAATTACGGTTTCATATTTTTAATTTTATAATTTCTGCATGCCATCTTACCAGATTTAAACTGATGATCTGTAATCCGGAATCGCCAAAGTCCCGACGAGTCCGGATTAACGACTTTTGACTGTATTATATATTTTTGTGTGGTGACTCCAAAAACATTCACTAATAAAAGATTTATCATCTAAAGTACTTTCAGCCACTTTGGGACAGATTGCTAACAGAATCTTCTGTAGTTTTTCATCATGTTTCTGAATTTAATGTTGTTATTCTTTATTTTGCAGGCATATTAATCTAAAGTTCCCTTCAGATTTTATTAAATTTGAAATAAAAAACATGCTTTAATGTACTGAATCGTGAACTTCAAAATAAATATTACTAATTATTTTGTATCTAAAATATTTAAATTTGATAATGGAAATTATAGATTTTGCATTTTCAGTGAGAGAATTGTGCTATAATTATTGATGTTTGCATTTATATTTTCAGAAGCACCTCTCCCTCCCTCCCCAAAGATGATTCTCAGAAAGTGTACATCATATATATTAAAAGTAACAACTAATTATAGATAAAATATTAAAAAATTTAGATCCCAAACCACAAAAACTTGTAAAAACCGAAAACCAGTAAAATCCCCAAATCTCCCAATAAAAAAAAATTTTGGGGTATTTTTGTTTTAAATTTTTTTTTTATGCTACTGCATTATAAAAGTAACAATGTATGATCATTATTTATAATTTTCATAATTTTTAAGATGGGAAAAGTTGTAATTAAATATATTCAAGCTAATAGAAAATTTTATATTAATTAGTATTGTGTAAATTGCGAATTGAAACTAAGAGAATACAGTAGACTCCCAATTAACTAGATAATACCAGGACGAGTTCCATGGTTAATCCAAAATCATAGTTGATCCAACAGCAGTTTAACAAAAGAGAAAAAAAGGAACAACTCGTATTGTAATTAACAGAAAAATACCATTCATAGTTTACTTGCATTTTTAAATAGTTTGATTTGTAGAATAAATTCACTTGATTATATACAGTAAATTAGCATTCAAAATGAAAAGAACATGCTTCATAGAAGGACTGTATATTTAGTTTTTTATTACAGTTTAGAAATTTAATTTTTAATGCTTCATTTAACAATGTTTATGTATTACAAATTATGTGTTTTTAAGTATATATAACAGAGTTGGCCAAACTTCATGTCAGTAAGAGCCGTCTGTTTGAATTCAGGAATATTTGAGAGCCACATCTAGATTTCCTAAAAGTCACAAGTTCATATTTACATCATTATAGAAGTAGTGGAGGAGGTTTTAAATGGAAAGAAATCCCTGATAACTTTGTAAAAAGAGTCTAAACTAATTAATTACTTCTTTTTGGACACTGAATAGTTTTAATTTACCATATTTCATACATATATTTTACATGCACGAACCGCACAAATTGCCTGCGAGAGCCATATCAGGCTCGCGAACCGCACTTTGGCCACCCCTGATATATAATAAAGAATAATTATTGCTGTTATAGTTAAAAACATAAATAATAGTTTAAAATATAAATACTAAATATAATAATTGTTGCTCTTACAGTCAAAAGTCGTTAATTCGGACACCCATAATCTGGAATGATCTATAAATCCAGACCTCAAAGCTAAAAACTTTCTGCGTCGCGTTGGCGCATGTGCGGAAGACTTTTACGGCTGCGAATTTGCGCGTGCGCATGCGAGTAATACGTTTACGCTTGCGCGTTTAATGTATAACGGACGGTATAAGCTAAGCTAAAATTATCTAATTCAGTTAATGTTGCAGATTGCATTGTTCCTTAATCTTCGAATTGGATCCGGCTTATTATTTTTTGCAGACTGTTAGAGCAATTTTGTAAAAGTAAGCTTGAACTTTCGATTATGTCAAATAGAATTTCCGAATATGTAAAGGATCTACAAAGCGAAAGTATGTTTAGAAGTCCATTAAACAAAAGTGGAATTGCTGCAAAAAATGGATAAAGGCATATCCTTCGTCTGTCAAACCATTCCGAAATCTGTTTATCAATTTCACGCTGCTCTGTGACCCGGGGGGGGGGGAGGGAAACGCCGCAGCGCACAATGAATTGAAAGGTAATCTGTCAGCACTATCCTTATCTTCAGGGCAGATGTTTTTATTTGGCTTATAATTCCTTACTAAATGTAGTATTTCATCTCGATGTACCCTGTCTTTGATATGATTTAAATCAAATTCCTCGTCATTATAATTCGCTTCCGATAAAGTAAAGAGAAAGTATTATCACATAAAACAAAGCAACTTAAACAACTTATATTGAAAGAAATGTTTAATAAAGTAAACAAATAAATATTAAGCTTTTTTTTTTTTTTTTTTTTTTTTTTTTTTTTTTTTGTAAATTTTGATACCCTTTAGATCATAATTGTTGTTTATTTCATAAATTACGGTTTAATATTTTTAATTTTATAATTTCTGCATGCCATCTTACCAGATTTAAACTGATGATGTATAATCCAGAAAAATCGATAATCCAGAATCAACGAAGTCCCGACGAGTCCGGATTAACGTCTTTTGACTGTATAGTTAAACTTAGTTCCTAAATGTTCTGACATTATCTGTTATCACTGGCGTTATGTTGTGCATTTTCTTAACCTTTATGTATTTCCCATTGAATTTTTCTTATTCTAGTGGTTTTTGATAATTTTTTATTATTCTGCAATAAAAAAAATTTAAATTTGTTTTTAAGACAAAGTGTGGTTTATCTGATCCAAATTAATTGATAGTTTCCTGCATTTTTAAATATGCTTTGTATGTTTTATGTTTAGGAAAAATGCTATACTTCATTTCATAAATGTCCTGTTTGTATAAATGTTCTGACATTATCTGCTATCATTGGCATTATGTTATGCATGTTCTTCACCTTTTTGTATTTCCCATACAATTTTTCTTTATTCTAGCAGTTTGTGATAATTTTTCATTATTCTACAATAAACAAATTTAAATTTGTTTTTAAGACATTTAACATAATAACAATTTACTGCCAGTTCATAATTAAAATTTTTGTATGAAACATTAATAAGAAATTTTACTGTATTGGGCCATTTCAGAAATTTGAGTATCAAACATTTTTAATTGTGATGAATACCTTTTAAATACAAGTTTTTATTGTACTTGATTTTTTTTTTTTTTTTTTTTTTTTTTTTTTTTTTTTTTTTAGATATTAAAAATGCCTTCAACATCCTTAAAGGAACTCCACATAGCTACATCTATGGAAAATCTTATACAGAAATCTGTTGTTGATGTCAAAGGTAGACCTACAAAGAGGTAAAATTAAAATTCTTTAACATGTATTGTTGTTAGTAATCAAAACCTGGATTAGAATATATATGTTATTCTTGTTTTTAACCAATCCATGATTTCAAATTTGTAAAGTTATTTTGACAATTTTGTAGTTATCATGAATGGAGTTAAGTAAAATTAAAGCTGTGAAGGTTTAAAATAATTCATGAAATTCAAAAATACTGCTAAGCTAAAACCACAGAGTATAAAAAAGGAGGAGGGGAAACTGGTATTACCACTTTTCCCAAAAATGGTCCACTTATTGTCGCATTGTTTATAGAGGGTGCTGCAATCACTAGCTTTCCGTCCTTTCGTAGTATTTTGCATAGACAGTAATAGCAAAAATACTGATTTGATATCAATTTTCATTATGAAAAAGTCAAATAATGGAAACTGTTTCGTCCCTGGATGCAACAGTGGTTATGAAACTGTTAGACTGAAGAATAAAAGCTTGGAAATCAAGAAACCAGATATATTTAAGAGTTCCAAAAGTGAGCAACATTTATATTATGCCTGATCATATATATGAATCGTCTGAAAACGGATAAGGGATTTCATCTGCCGAATACTGCATCTGGCTAATACTGCATATTTTACTTACAATAATATGTTAATTAAAGATCTTGAAGACACATTATTTAAATGTCTTTTGTTTTCAGCATCCTGATATGAATCTTGAAAAATTGAAAATACTTCCTTCCCAACAGTTCAGTTGAGAGTAAATTGCAATTAAATGGGTTTTTTAAATAGTTTTCGATATGAATTCGAACTAGTATAAAATTTTATAGACATGTACACATTCAGCAGCAGTACTTTCTAAGCCACAAACAAAAAGAAAAGGTTTGGTTTGCTCTATTTAATTACACCAAACAACTTGTGGGGTATCTGCCTAAGGTAAGGGAAACTGGCTTGTATAGATGTTTCACGTGGAAAAACCAGGAAAATGCCCATGCAGCTAGCCTGTTGCCGGGATTCGAACTCAGGACCAAACTGGCAGTGTTTGGTGACTTTTGCTGCGCAACTGCTGGTGATTGAACACAAATTTAATGAATAACTCTAGCCTCCTGTAGCTTGCCCCTGTGTGTAACAATATAAAAGAATACTGTTACTGTTAAGATTGTTTCAGGATTATTTATATAATTACTGTTACATTTTTATTAAATTTTTGTTATTTAACTCCTTAACTGTCGCGGGCGTATATATACGCCTTGCTCAGCCGATGCGTTAACTGCCCCAGGCGTATATATACGTCCTTCCAAACTGCTATCATTTGCTTTGTGCTGCTACACCTAAAATTATTCGCAAAGTTAACGCATCGGCTGCGCATCTGGGTGCATCTGGGGCAGTTAACGCATCGGCTGAGCAAGGCGTATATATACGCCCGCGGCAGTTAAGGGGTTAATTGAACTTGTTTCTTTCACTGTGAGTCTTTAATCCTTGAAAAAGAGATATTAAATTGAGAATAAAAAAGTAAATAATTGCTGCAAGAGAAAATAGACTTTACTTTTACATAGGTAATGATATTTTTTAAATACTGCAGCAAGCATACATTAGGTATTCTGATATTAAACTGGTAGTTTTGCAACAAATGTAATTAGACTCTAGTAGTAAATAATCAGTTCAATAAATGAAAATAAAAAATAGGGGATCTTTTCCAGCAAAAGATAACGCATGCACAACATTTTTTTCAAAAAAGCTACATGTACCAGTTTGAAACTTAACAGCGAGAAAATATCATCTCATTATAACTGTGATAAAATTTTTCTAAACATAAGAAATTCATCTTTTAGGCTATTGAATGGGATAGAATTTTCCTCTATTGGAGGAAAAGAGCACATGTACTTTTAAAATTAAGATCTGCATTATATTTTTAGTTAAAATACTGCATTTATTGGTTAGAAGTTAGTTCAAGCAGGACAAAATTAAAGATAAGATTGTATTAGTTTCAATATTTACTCTTTATATTTAATTATGAATAATATACAGTTCAGCATAACCATGTGTTCAGAATACTTAACTGAATTCAAATCCAAATTTTATTTTAAAATCTTGTGAAATCAATTTGAAACATACTTCTCAAATAACAAAGATATGGAAATTTTTAACAGAAAACAATAAAAATATGAAAATCAAAACTGACATCTGATTCATAAAAAAGAATAACTCATTATGATGGTAAAGAAAATTTACTAACTGAAGCAAAAAATTCTATAAGCTTCATTAAAATTTCGCCAGAATTTATATCAAGCTGTGTATCTAAGCATTTTACAAAATGAGAGACACGAAGAACCTATCTTAATTAAATTTAACATATATACAGCAAGTATTATTACTAGTAATATGATTATTTTTCTAAGGGGAAGGGACTGAAAAATATCTTCAAATTAATCATTCATAAAAAGTATTACAAGCCTTACAGCATGAAAGCTGTAAATTAATTTTATGATTTGAGGAATAAAATACAATCATTAGTGAGCAAAATATTATAACGATAATAACACAATCCATCCCATTAAAAACATAAACATTTTTTCATCCACTAATAAGCTTAGCTGCCTGGCTACTCAATAAATGTTTACATTTAGAACTGCTAAAATGGAACAGCAGCACCATCTAGTTAATGCTACATTTTAGGACCTGTTTTTCTAATAGGCAGTTTCACCTCCTTCTTTATACTGTGGCTAAAACGTATGGTCAAAGTGCCATTAAAATGTATGTTGTAAAATATCAAACTATTATAATGTTAATGTATATCATAATGTAAATAAAATTTGTAAATATATATATATATATATATATATAAAGTAAAGTAGAAAGAACAAACGATAAAAGACCTAATAGAGATATAACTGATTTAAGATGCTATTCTGTATTGTATCCAGGTTTATTATTGTGTCATTACTTATTCTTATAGTATTTAGAAATCTTGTGAAATTTATTATTTTTCTTTTGTATAAATTTTAAACCTAGCAGTATTCTGCTTTTAAAATGTGACAGTATAAATATTTTAATGTATTTACAATGGCCAATAAAAAGAGGTTGTGGTTTTCCTTAAGGCAGTAAGTCCACTCACTTAAAAAAGAAAAAAAAAAAATATTTCTGTAAAATGTAGAATTATTTTTTCATTTGTACGAAAAGTCTTTTAGGCAAGAAAAACTAGATTTGTTAATCAAACAGTATTTATATATTATATTCTGATGGACATCTAAATTTATTTAAAAGTGGTGAATGTGAAGATTTTTCTGCTGTACTCAAAAATTCACAAAAGCATGAGTTTTGCCTCCTCACATTTTCACGACACTAAAGGGGATTTTAATATTTGGTATCATCTCTAGGTGAAGATAAGACTACCAAGAAAATAGTTAATGAATGAGCATGAGTACAGTAGGAGTCCAGAAATCCACAATGCTTGGCACCAGAGGTTGTGCGGATTTTAGGATTTTGCGGATTTCAGGACAGAAAAGATAATATTCAGACTAAAAGTGCAAAATAAATAAGGCGTATTAGATACATTTAATTAAATTATTATATACATTAATACAGTATTTATTTATATGCATTAAATTATTATTACATAAACTGATTATATTATATTGTTCATTTACATTAGGCTCCTCTATTCTTAAATTAGCATGAATCTGCTTCCCCTTTTCTCTTAGGAGTAGTCCTGAAGTAGGTACTCCTTCACTCCGCCGCTGCTGGAACCACTTGTACAACGATGTTTGCCGATTTCGCCTTATGTAAAGATTTCCAGTTTCGGATTCCGGTGTTAAAATCACTGTTGCTGTAAAATTTCAACAGCTTTTCTTTATTGTTCCGTATATCACACACAGTCCGTGTGGCAATTCCATACGATTCTGCTATAAACCGAGCAGTAGCACGTGCCTCCACCTTTAGCAGAATTTCCACTTTTTTCATTACCGTCAATGCAACGTGTTTACGTTTTTCAGTGTTGCAAGCAGTAAAATCACAAGTGCGTTTCTTATCTGTCATTGTATTAAAAAGTGCTGAAATTTAAAATATTCTTAATTTATCCACAAAATATCCGGATTAAAAAAAACGACATCACTAAACAATCTCGTGAAATAACAAAGCTCAGAAAGTACAACAACGTGAAGCGTGAACTTGAAAGAAGAGTTGAGTTAATCGTCTGCTTTTTTACCTTGATGCAGATTGGAGGGGAAAAAACTTTTATCGTGATGTCAATAATTTGGTATTCCCATTATGAGTCATTATTATTCGGTAATTATGACGTCATTATCACGGAAGTATTTTTTCTTCGATATTTCATACTCCATGTTGCAGTTTCCGGAACCTATAAACTAAATGTTTATATTTTGTGAGGCAACGCGGATTTCAGACCAGCAGATTTTCGGTATTTGACTGTATCATTTCAGCTGTTCCCAGAGCCCACACAAACACATGTATATGTAGAGTCGTCTAAAACGTTTTGTGGGGTTTTGGTGGTAAATAAATTTAAAACAGGAAAATTTCATTGAATCACATACTCGTCATTTTGTGCTATGACTTTAGGCTATCTCTTTGCAACTCGAAAATATCTTTATTTAAAAAGTCGTTAGGCTTATTCAAAGGTGGGACAAATACGTCCCACCACACATGTAGGCATTGCTGCTACTAGATGGCAGCACCATTCAAATATTTTAAAATTCAAGTAAAGTATCATGTTCATTTTATATGTTGATAATGCAAATTTATATTTTTTAATAAATTGCAACAATGTTAAAACTTGACAAATATTTAGTATTTTTTCCGAAAGAAATGAAAATATAACTCTGTAACGTGAAATGTCATAGACTACTAAAGGGATATGTCAGTGTGGTTCACCATAAAAAAATATCCTAAGCAGAGGAAAGAGATATGGAATGTAAATAAACATGATACCCTCCTAAATATCTTCCTTTTCAAACCTGTAGCAAATAAAGTATTGGAGCGAAAATCTGCCCTGTTTCAAATCTATTATGAGTTTCAAATCTATTATGAAATCATTACAAAATATCTAAAATGTCGTACAGAGAGCAATTTAAAAATATATATATATATTTTATTTTGCGAATATGATCAATATTTTCTAGATAGTTATTCAAAAACATTTTTCATATCTTGCATATTCATTTGGTTGCTAAAACTAGCACTTTAAATAAGCATGTTAGGAGAATTTACTCTTAGGCAAAGATGCCATTTTACTGCTCTAGATGTGTGGTGGAACAAGCGGTATCCCACCACGTCATGAATTACCTTAAAGGTTTACCTTTTCCCCTCCCATGAAATAACATTTTATGAGGGGCTAATTATCTATGTGTAAAGGTATGTTTTCCAAAAAAAAAAAAATTTTTTTAATTTTTTTTTTAATTTTTTTTTTATGCACCAAACCTTGAGGGGTTATTGCTATTTCCTCATTCTTACACATATATTCGGCAAAGTTTTATACTTGTTATTAAAAAAGAAAATTACAAGAAGTTTGACTCCCATATGAACAAAACTTTCAATTTTTGATATCTTCATGTTGCCCTGAAGAATTGGTTAATCAAGTTAGAATAATTTGAGAAAAATAAGTGAAGTGCAGAAGGAAATGTGTATTACTTAATAAGCCATATGAGGAAATCATGGTGTCTACATGGGATTTCTCCCCTTCCCCATGGTAAACACAGTTCATAAATCTGTACAAATATTTTGCTTTAGATAAATTCCTATTTTTGGTGTGTTCTATGTGTTTATTGTGCTCTCTTTTAATGTTACTTTTAAACTTATAATGGTCAACCATGTGGTCAAGAATTTATTTGTCCAAAATATTTAGTCGTTCAATTCAAAGTTTATTGCATCTCCTAGCTGGTTTGTGTACAATCTAGGCAGGAAGCAAACATGTTTACATTGGCAGCATAAAATAATATTTATAAAGATCTTTCTGACATTCAAAATGATAAAAAATAAGGAGTTAAAGAACAGAGAAATTATCTGTTAATAATTTCAAGAGTGCAGATAATCAGAAACAAACATTAATTCTTAATGTAACCAGTATTTAACAAGTTTGTAAGAAGCAAGAAATAATGTATTTGTATCTCTTTCATTATTATCAAGAAATATGCTCAGTTCAAATATAAATTATTAATTTAGTATTTGAATGATGCATTAGATGGTATATATTTGCATTTACTTAGACATCATTTGAATTGAAATAGATAAAGGCAAAGTCCACTGTATTCCAGGTTTTATTATTGTTTACATACTAATAATTTAGAATCTGTAAAACAAATTTTTATCTTTTTACTTCCCAGTCTGGTAACAGGAGCACGTAAGCTTTTTCAAGCAGCAGAGACTGCTCACGTCCTCGATAAAGATGAAGAGCAAGCTTTTGTTTTATATTCGAAGTTCATTGAATTGATTTTAGTGTTGAAGGACAGGTCTGATTTCTCAACAGTATGTATAGACCCTTTTTATCATAATCTTTTTTTTTAATCTTATATTTTATATATTGCAGGTATTTCATTGCAAACTTAATACATATCTTATTAACAACTAAATAGTTAGACCAGTGGTTCTAGCTAAAAGCTAATTCCTCCTCCTTCCCCTAAAGTTGAAAAATAAATAAACATTTATTTAGGCACAACAAGAAATTGTTGGGGTCACACTGACCAAATGCCTCCTGAAATTATGAAATTCCTGCCGTTCTCACGGTAGAGAAACCCTGTTAGACTGACAGATACATTGCCTGCTAATTCTTTCTCTCTTTAAATATATGTGGCCCAGTTAGTTAATAGATATTTTCAGTAGATTGCAGAATTCATTTGTCTAGTACAGTCAAAAGTCGTTAATCCGGACTCGTCGGGACTTTGGCGATTCCAGATTATCGATTTTTCCGGATTATAGATCATCAGTTTAAATCGCATAAGATGCCATGCAGAAATTCTAAAATTCTAAAAATATGAAACCGTAATTCATGAAATAAAGAACAATTATGATCTAAAGGGTATCAAAATTTACAAAAAAAAAAGCTTAATATTAATTTGTTTACTTTATTAAACATTTTTTTCAATGTAAGTTGTTTAAGTTGCTTCGTTTTATGTGATAATACTTTCTCTTTAATTCTATAAACAGACATAATTTCTTGTTCAGTTACAAAGTTCTGCTGTTCAAGTCCCGTAATTGCTGTGCCGAGAATACCGACTAACTTGTCAATCGAAATTTTTTCGTTTTCGCTAACCTCTCTGTCACCTTCTTCATGTCTTTATCCATTTTTTGCAGCAATTCCACTTTTTGTTTGATGGACATCGAAACATACTTTCGTTTTGTAGATCCTTTGGGAGCTCCAACATTGGAAATTCTATTTGACATAATCGAAAGTTCAAGTTACTTTTATAAAATTGCTCTTACAGTCTGCAAAAAATAATAAACCGGATCCAACTCGAAGATTAAGGAACAACGCAATCATCAACATTAACTGAAATAGATAATTAGATAATTTTAGCTTATACTGTCCATTATACATAAAACGTGCACGCGAAAACGTATTCTGCACTTGTGCACACGCATATGCGCAGTCGTAAAGGTACTTAAGCGCACGCGTAAACACCTATGCGCATGTGTCAACGCGGCGCATGCGCAGAAAGTTTTTAGCTTTAAAGTCCGGATTATGGGTGTTTGAATTAACGACTTTTGACTGTATATACTAGTGTAATACTTTTTGCTTTGTTTGATGTTACCTTACATAGAATTTTAAAAGGATCTGAAAAATTATAATTTGTATTTTACTGTATATATATATATATATGCTTGAATATATATATAATATATATATATATATATATGCATGAAGCCTGTATTTTATTGACACATTTTGAAAGTTTGCATATATTTTTTTGTATTATGACACTTATGAAATAAATTATAGGAAGAAAACTTATATTATTGAAAATGTCTTTTCTACTAGTTTATTGATTGTTCAGCATAGGAAATTACATTTCATTTAAGTTATTATTTTATCTTTTATGATGATAAATTCTGTTCGTGATATAATTTAAGAATAAATTCATGAATCGTGAAGAATAATAATTACTTAACGAGTGCTGACCAATTTAATTTTATTTATACATACACTTCAGTATTAGAAATTTTAGGATTTTGTTGTTAAATGTCCATTTTGAATTTTCTACTTGCTTTATGCAACTTATAAAGTTATTGGATAACAAGTATCCGTAGTCATATTGTTACAAAAGTTCCCATTCAGAGTTACTTCCTTCTTAAAGTGGGTAACATATAAGTCTCTGATGGCATTTGAAATTGTACATTACCAGTCAACTTTGCTACTTCTGGCGACTAAGCATGATGGTCACTTTAAGAAGGAAGTATCTTTGATTTTTAGGACAAATTCCAATTATTTGAGTATCTGATCAAAATAGTGTGAAATTCTTTAGCTGTGTATTTCCATCTTATTTTCTTCTAGTGCTTATTTCCATTTAGCTAAACTATCTTAGCATTTTATGTTCATGCTTGTGTTATAGCAAAAGAATTTCTGTTATGTTATGAAAGGAATGGTTAAGCCATTGTTGTGGCATAAACCTTTGAGTATTATTTTGTTGAACTATTAATGGGAAAGATGGTCAGTTTGACCCCGCCAGAGTAGACCAAAATGGTACTCAACATTCCAGAAGTTTCACTGTTGCCAATACAGATGATATAGCCTGACGAAAACTCATCTCACAGCAAGTAAAGAAAAATTCTATTCTCAAACTAAACTGCAACTGAATTGTTTCATATACCATAGCCAGACTGAGAGCAAAACACTTTAAAGGAATGTAAATATCCTTAAATAGTCAGCGAAATTATAATTGTAGTTCTGGTACATAGCTTTTTCGAGTATATATCTTTAACTGCCCTGTTATACTGGTCAGCCTCTTCAGAATTGATTTTGTCTCCCTGAAGTGCTAGCTCCTATATTCGAGAATCACCGAGGTCACTAGGGCTGTTTTAGATACTTGTGGTCCAGTTTGACCTTTCTGCACTAATTGTTAAGTATTCATTATAAGTGTTTCTTGCCCACTCTTCCTGTTCTCTTTAGATGGGGGCCAGGGGTTCCACTAGTGAGAAAAATTTAAACCTTGTTTTTTTAAGCCCAAAAAACTGTTAATTTTTGTTTTGGCATTTTGCACTGAAAACTTTAAATGTCGGATTCACTTTTCAAATTATTGCCACCAAATATTATCGCTCTGTGTTATATTTAAAGAAATTAAATAATGAAGAATCTGCATAAATGTATGTATGTTTGGTACCTAGAGCCATCAAATTTTGAATAGCGTAGTCCTCTACTCGAATATGTGCATCTGGAAGACTGAATTTCGAATTTGTTTTATTTTCGATTTCATATTTTGTAACACTTTAACAAATTTTTGACTAACAAACTCAGTGATTTCAAAATGAGCAATGGCAACATTGTATAGGGAAAAAACATTTTTATCTCCAGCGCGAGAGATTGTGTATCGTAAATTCTAAAGATATGCTTATTTTAAAACTATTTTGCGATATTGCTGTTGAATTGATTTTGTGGTTTAACCCTCAACCAGCAAAGCCATAGAACTTTTTTTATATCTCTAAAAATGTATATATATGTGCATATTAAAATATTTCAAGGAGACTAAGGCTATTAAAAGTACTACCATTAAAAGTACACAAATCCAGGTATAAAATACCAGGAGAATTTTTTTCATTAAAATCAAGAAAATAATTTTTTCTCATAGTAGTTTTGGGAAATTTGCGCTTTCTTAGCAAAAACACTGGCCGGTCAGAGGGTTAAGTGCAAACAGCATGATACCCCTTTGGATGTAATGTAAAATCTGAAAGGTTTCAGTTTTATTATACAGTCAAAAGTCGTTAATTCGGACACCCATAATCCAGAATGATCTATAATCCAGACCTCAAAGCTACAAACTTTCTGCACATGCATCGCTTTGACGCATGCGCGTAAGACCTTGCGAATCTGCATGAGCGAGTGCACAAAATATGTTTACGAACACGTGTTTAATGTGTAACGGATGGTATAAGCTAAGCTAAAATTATCTAATTCAGTTAATGTTGCAGATTGCGTTGTTCCTTAATCTTCGAATTGGATTCGGCTTATTATTTTTTACAGACTGTGTACGTATCCAAATGATCAGAAGGTTGTTGATGCTTGTTCCTTGATCTATTGCACCAAGATATTTTACTGTACATTTATTTACAATTTATTTACAAGTCGTATGCCACCTGGCATGTTTACAAGCGTTATGCCTCCTGGCATGTACATAATAGACATATTCTGCCACCTGGCATGTGAATTGATACATCATATTAGTTTTCTGCCACTGACAGATACGATGCAATTACCTCAATTAGCGGTAATACGCCCGACATTTTGGCGTGTCCGCTTCCCTTACGTTCTGCAACGCAACTAACTCATTGTGCGGTGCGCCCTCTGGGCACAAAATCACCGCAATTACCGAGGAGGCCAAAACATCCTCCCCCCCCCCGATGAATTACATTCATCTTAATACAATCTTCAATATATGCAAACAAGTAATGAAAAAATATACAAAATGAAAACATACAAGAACCTTCAAAAAGTATGAAATTACATGTTACACTTACCAATCTTCTAGCAAAACATCGTATATCTTACTATATTGAAACGTTAACTATGAGGGTTAAACTAGAACAAAACAAATAAATTATTAGTACAATAAGAAATGAAAATAATAATAAAACATATTCAATATAAACCAAAACTTAAGTTAATGTTCTTCAAATGGTAAAAGACACAGTTTGGTAATAGGACGTTTAATGTCCCCGTGCACAGTTTTTAGTCTAACCACTCGGACATATTGTCTCTTCCAGGAAACACTTCTATTACTCGCCCGAGTTTCCAACGTAAGCAAAGGCATGTTATCTTCTTTAATGAGAACCAAGTCATTTAGACTAATATTTCTGCTAAAGGTTGTCTCCGTTTGCTACGCTGCTGTAGTTGGCACAGGTACTCTTTAGACCACTGCTTCCAAAACCCTTGGAACATCTGCTGTGTTAGTTGCCATCTTTGCAATGGAGATACTTCGTATTTTGGTTAACTTGTATACTTGTTCCGGAACAGCTGTTAAAGGAAGTCCCTATAATAAAGCGTCCAGGTGTTAGAAGCTGTCAAAATCATTGGGATCACTGGAGACCAGGTGTTATTGGTTTCAAATTTAAAGCATGCTTCAATTTGTGCAATTAGAGTTAGAAACTCTCATCAAGTCAAAATTTGAGTTCCAACACATTTCTTTAGATGTTGCAGCTTCATAGATCTAACAGCTTGCCTCCCATATACCACCATGATGTGGAGCAGCTGGTGGGTTGAATATCCACTTTATGTTTTCATTTGCCACACCTGTGAAATTCTGGGTTTGACTGGACCT